CCAAAAAAAAAAAAAAAGTTGAAGGCGCAAAATCACCAACCGGTGATACAACACTAAAAACCCCCCCATGTCGCATCTCTGTATTCTAGGACTCTAGAAATCCTGAATGCGAATGCAAATTTTAACGTATGTACTTATTATTGTGATTTTGAGGATCGGAAATCTATTAAATTAAAAGAAGAAGAAGAAGGTAAAACACATGGTGTAACTGGAACCAAAATAAAATATTCTAAAAACGTGAAGGAAGATGCAAAGATTAATGAGTGAATATTCAAAAACTTAGCTTGAAAAAACCGAGAAGAGATCAGTAAATTTGAGAAATTATATACTGATTATGTATTTATATTAATTGATTGAAAAGTTCCAACAGCATGTCATCATCTTACGAGAGCGAATAAATATGTAATGGACATACAAGTGTATTGTGGTTAGAAAGAAGCATCTTTGGCATTGTAATATCAGGATGGAGCAGTTTAATATGCAGATTTTTCTCGAGCTAAAATCCTGCTGTGATGATTTGATCAAAAACCCGAGTAAGACTCACGCACGCAGAGTCGCGGAGGTAGCTGGTAACATCCCTGACAAGACCATGCATAATCTGTCAGGGTACTGTTTACTTCCTATTATTACCAGTTTACAAGGCAATTCAAGGTAAATATAGCATTCCCTGCAATAACTTAATAAAATAGATTGTTTGTTGAAATAGAATGTATAATAAAAGAAATATAGCTATATGCTTGATACACATTATTGTATAAGTTATATAAATAACGAGGTGTATGATCTAAAATTAATATTTCTTTATATAGCACGACTGTAAAAGAGGAACTGGTCAAAACTATGAGAGTTATAATACGAAAAACTAAAATTACAAAATTAAAAATCTTTCTCAATATCTATGGGACTCTGCTGGTCCAAATTTTTGACAGGAATCAACCAAACCAAAGTATATAAACTGGATTAAATCAATAATGATTAGTTGTTCCACCTTTGGATAAACTAATAGTGTTTTCGATTTGTTGACTCGATCTGACTCTGAGTCAAAATAGTTTGTTTTTTTAGCGTTTCTTGTACACTATTTTTTTATAGCTAAAAAGAACAGACCATCGACTCAGAGTCGGATCGAGTCAGCAAATCGAAAACGCTATATATATAAAATGATAATTTATTTTCTTTTATTTATAATTGGATAAATTAGTTAATAGCTTTGGCTCTACCAACATTTATCCATTTTGATAAATTATTACATAATTTATCTGAAGATAGAACAGCCAGTTTTGTTCATAATGAATAATAATCTAATTATTATCTAAATTTAACAGTGATTTTATTTCACGAGGAGCTTAAGGAGGCAGTAGCTTTATGTATTAAAGATCTTATCCATCAAAGCATTTCTGATGTGATAGAATCACTTTATACTAAAGAAAATGTATTGAATCTTGGTCAAGGAATATTTTTGTGTCTTACAATTTCAAGAACTGAAAAGTCATATTCTGTGAGGTAAGTATTTAGAAGGAGTATATTGAGGATGGCTTTACATGAGTTTTATAAAAGTTTTGTCAATTTGGATGGAACAAAGCTTTCAAACTGATTACAAACCTTTATTACAATTGCAATTTTTAAAGGAAGAAATTTTGTAATCTTATATAATTCTACTAACATTACAGACGCGCGCCTCGCGCGCGCTATTTTTCTGCACTTTTAGTTTTTACTATAATTGATTTAATTATATATCAATCTCAATGCATACAACTGTCAAAAGTCGCGGAAAAGAGTCAACAATAACTTTGAGAACAACGATACATTTCGAGTTCAACTTAACATACTTTTTTTAGAGAGGAGGATTTCAGAAAATTGTTTTTAAAATTTATTTATTATCATTAAAATATTTGTTCCAATTCTTCAAAAGGACATGCAGTACCACATTTATTCATCTCAATTATTATATCTCTTGAAATTAAATTGATGTTTTCGATTTTTTTTATCACAGTGGAATATTCATTCAAAATTTGTATTGTTGTACAATATATATATATGGGTTAGTAAGCCTGAGAGTCAAATCCAGATCTTTTGCTTGATTGCTCTAGTACTGAGCAATCTCAGCAACTCAATCTTAAAACCTTGCATTCACGATGCTAGAAATAGCCCCGAGATCTCGGAGCGATTCATGTTCTACATCGTAGACACGAGGCTTTATATTTATAATGTATTACCTTAAAATATATATTTGCATTAATTCACATTAATTTTTAGATTAGCTGGGATAGACGCAGTAATGGCTTTGTGTCATATCGACGACAAAATAGACAAATCTGACATCATTATTCATGATCAAGTAGCAAATACCATCATGGCATTTTTTCCTGGTATTGTCAGTGGATTACAGGAAATAGCAATGGGAAGCGAAGTTCAAAATCACAAACTTACAATGGTAATACATAACTTAATACCTAGAAAATAATTATTTGAACAATAAATTAAAATCAGTAATTAATACAATAATTGAATATTATAGACAGCAATTCGAGCATGGGGGAGAATTATATCGCTTGTTCTCCATGATAAGGATGAAGACACTGAAGAGGACATATTATCTATAGAAACACTTATGAAAAAAGGTTGCAATGTATCCACTGACACATCGCATAATGCGAAATATAATGGAAAATGTGACATAGAATATAATCTAAAAGGAGCTGTAAGAAATAAAGAATGGTTCGAAGCTGTAGCTATTAAACTTGGTGCTTATATACAATTGTTAGATCAAGTTAGAAGCCATTCACACTACAAAGTTAAGAGAGAATTGATTGAAAGTATCAGTCTTATACTTGAAAATTGCCGCAAGTAAAAGATTCACTTTTTATATATTTCTATCTATTCTTTCTATACTTTTATAACATCTAAATAAAAAACTGAATAATTTATATGTTTCATGTAGGAATATGAAACCAAATATTATGACATTAATAGATTATTTGATTTCCCTATCTGAAGACGAATCCCCAGAAGTTAGTGAAAGAGCGCACAATGTGTTGCACACAATAAGTGAAAACTACATGCAAAATTATGATATGAAATCACTGATTGATTCATTAGAAGATAAGTTTTACAATTTGCTTACAAGACTGCCTACAATTATTAGACGATCAGGTAAGATCTTTCTAATTGTGACTAAAATTAAATGTTTTTTATTTTATATTATTAGCACTAATAATTATTAAACATAAATGTAAAAATTAAAATATACGTATCCATTTCTATATTTTTCAGATGATAACGAACAATTAGCATACTTGAATCAATTCGCCGGCTATTTAAGATTATTTGGAAAGCAAAGATTGCCTCATATCATGAGGTCGCAGGCTCATATGCAAAGATTATTTTTAGCTCTTGTATACATTATGGTCATAGATTGCAACAACGTGTCTCTTCTACAGACAGCAAATGTGAAAGATTTAAACGACCCCGCTTATTTTTACGGATCGGATTCGTGGAGACAGTTCAAGTTTATTAAGAATAGCTCATGTAAAGAGAAACTTGTTGCAATATGCAAGCTACTCGGAGAATTTGGGGATTTTAAGATATTAATCGACACTATTCTCGAGCTTATGATGAACGCGCCGCAACACAGGAAGGAACTGAATTTACTACTTAACTGGATCTTAAGTAATACAAACAATACATATAAATTTGAAGAAATGTTATTAAGATCGGCTCTTATTAATAGTTTCGATTTTCTTTGTTTTAGTTTCTGCTAAAGAATCATCTTCTTCATATTTATATAAGGAAATCGTAGATTTTTACACAACACAGGAAATATGGTACTTGCCTACAGAAGTAACTGAAGATACTCCTTTGGTGCAGGCACAGAGCAATATAGTGCAATGTTGCCTTTTGACTGAAGGATTGGGCCTTATAGTACAAAATTTACAATACGACTATGATAGATACCTTCTAAAAACCTTATATTTAATTATTGAAAGAGCAGGTATGTATCATTAATACATAGAGAGTTGAAATCTTCTTACAAACGAATAAAAATTATGGATAATTGCAGGCAGTGGGAACAGTTTGATCAGTTATATTGGAGTGCGTACTCTCGAAAATGTCGCAGAGGCACAGCAGCACAGGACGATCGGCGATCTGTTACGTGCTAACGTCGATTATTTTTCTTATCACATTATAATGAAATTACGCCAAGTAGACCGCAATCTTGGCGTATTCGACGTTATTAGAGTTGTTATGAAGTACAGCAGATTGGATTTTTTGCCACACTTAAAGGGAATTGTAGAGGATGTATTCAGGCAACTAAGTACCCCTTACCGTCAAAAAGATATTTATTCGTTTCTGAAGATATTTCATACGTTTATCATATGCATAAAAACGTTAATAAACTGGAATGATATAACAATAATAAAAGAAGAAAATGCACAAGCAAATAATCCTTCAGAGACAATTATTCTTTCTTTGTTAGAATGCTATAATGCAAAGAAGATTGATGAAAAAATTGAAGATGACACTGAAGAGATAGTATCAGACGCAAATGTACCGGATACTGAGCTACCGGAAGAGATAAATGAAGAGGATTACTCAAATCCGAGTGCAGAAGGTAATAGAAATTTATATAGAATAGAAATTTTTATCTCCTTTAGTTTTTATGCTAAAAAGGGACTCGATTTATAATTCAAACTTAACTACATACATCTATGCATCTCTAATAGGAGTTTATTTATTTTTATAGATTGCAAAATTTATTCACTGTTCACTATATGTTCCAGACAAACGAGACAAAAAGCTACCAACTCATATAAAGATAATTATAGACGTTATGAAACGTTGTATGCACTTTTTACCTTTAAAGGACGTACAAAAATCACTGATGGCAATGCAAACGCTTCAAGAGGGTTTACCGATACTAGTCGAGTGGGAAGATGAACTATTGCCTATTGTGCATCAGTTATGGCATCCACTGACCGATAGATTCAACGATGAAAATGTTCTTGTAATTAATCATGCGTGGCAACTCTTGCATGTACTCGCCAACATATCGAATGACTTCATCAGAAGCAGAACTCTACGGTAAAATATCTTGTACATTTTACCGAATATATTGTAAAAAAGCGACTAACATACGCCAAGTATCATAATGCCAATAATTAATCTTTTATATACAAGAGAGGTATTGCCATCTATATTTAAGTTCCTGACTGAGTCTTCTAAAGAAAGTATTAACAAGAGCTCAATAAATATTTACAAATTCACACAAACTTACAAATCTCAATACGAGTTGTTATCTACGTTGGGAGTAATAGCGTGGCTCTTAAAATTGCGCGAGCACGAATTATGGCAAATATTAAGTAATATACAATCGTACCTTAGTGCAAGTCAACATACCGCATTACAGGTAAGATCAAAACAAAAAGTATATTTTTGCATATGCATAAGTCTAATCTATTATTATTATTTAATTAAAAGGCATGCTGTGTAAAATTGTATAAAGACATTGCTGATTATAATGGAGATATCGTATGGGTGAAATGTCTCAGTATCTGGAATTCGAAAGTTGTACGAATAGCTTCTGATGCAACATTTGACATAAAAAATCTACTGGTAATGTTTAATGTTTAATTATGAAATACAATTTTTACAATTTATATGAATTTATTAAAATTTAGTTTTATGTGATAAAAAAAAATATAGTGTTATTTTATTATTTTTCAGATTGCAGATGTTTCTCCGGCAAATGAATATTACAGAAATGTAAACGAAATCATTATATACATCCAACAAAAAAATATTCATTATTGAATATATTCAAAAATCCTATCAAAAATGATTTAAGAACTGTATAAGAGAAACAACCTTATTTTATATAAGCCTTAAAGATGTGATAAATACTAAGTCAAAGGTTTTCAAACAACAATATGCTATTCAATTACAAAATGCCTTTGTATTAGAGTAATATAAAATGTTAAATGTTAATCACGTAAAAAGCAAATAGATTACTAGATTTAAAATATTTTCAAATATTTATATAAATTCTATGTATACTATATAAATAATGAACAAATTGTGTGACAGAAATTTTTTATTTGTATATAAGTCTAACATTTTATAATCATTTTTTCACATTTTACAATAACTTACATATAATTATACTTTTCTTTACTATCTACAAAGCGATACATTATAAAACAAAAAAGTGTAAGATGCTCTGTGTATGTATGTATGTATGTATGTATGTATGTATGTATGTATGTATGTATGTATGTATGTATGTATGTATGTATATACAGTCACCAAACTAATTGACCGGACACTGCGTAGATCGGAAGAGCACACG